CACCCACACACAAAATAGCAAGCTCAAATCAAGAATAAGAATACACAAATATATTTGTTTCGGCCCAAAAAAGTCACCAAAAACTCTTTATTCAAAATTTAACCCAAAACCCAATAACACAATTTTAATAAACTACTTACCTAGCTATTCTCTTGGTATCTAACTATCTAGAATTACTAAACTAAAATGAAAACATCTTATTTATAAGGGTGAAACCCCTTATAACTTTATTAAAGTCCTGATGTGGGTTACAAGACAAATTTTCAACTCTTATAACTTTACTCAACTTTCGATGTGGATTATGAGATTCAAGGTAAACCCCAACATTTGAAGCCTTCAAATCTGCATTCAACACAACATTATTGTAATTTTTACTATAAAAAAAAAAAAAAGATTGTATGTGTGCGCTCCAAAAGCAAAGATAAATGCAGAACCTTTGGCATATTTCTTCTAGTCAAAGCTAAAACATTCACGTATGAGATAATTTGAAACAATTTATGATTCAGTTTCATTTGCAATATTTGAGGTTTTAGTTTATCTTTCGTGCACTTAACCAACACATTAAAGCTTATGTAAACAGAAGATAAACCAGTAACATATTGTACCATATAAGCTTAACAATGAATATTTCCAAAATGCTAATGGACTTTTAGCAGAGAGAACTAGAAAAGAACTACCTTTCAGACTTTGAAAAATAGCCAGCACCAAGTTCACATTAGAACAACAGCATGTTATCATCCGTTTCATATCCCTTAGTTTTAGCCACCAAAACTTTGCAGGTTCTGAGTACATGACTCACAAATCTGCTGCAATATATTACAAAGATAATTGTGGCATATGGAGAATACCAGATTCTCCTCTGCAACTTTTCCAAATGTAATCTAAAACAACATAATCTATCAACTCGACTGAAATCCACAGCTAAGAAGCTCCAAAAAATACAAATTAGACAATATTTTATTGAGGTAATATGCATTATATAGAAGTGCTTAAGTGGCATAATTTGCCAGGTACTCAATCGTTAGTGCTGACCTAGCAGTTTGAACATCTAATTTACTTCTAAAACAAACAACTTCTTCAAAATTTGAAATTCACTAAGTTCAAGCCGTAACTCAAAAGGTTAGTTTCTCAACACAATAAGTAATCAAAATCTCACGCATAATCAGTTTCAAACAATCATTAACTGCAGGGAAGAACTGAAGCAAGCATCACATTCGGGGTCCTTAAAAAGATTCACAATATTTAAAATCGACAAGATCCTTAAAAGGTGAAAAAGTTGTTGTGCCATTGTATGTGTGGCTTACTATGAGAGGTGCCTAGATTTTCTCAAAAAAAACTTTGTACCTTCAATTAGCCTAATTGTTCTTAGATAAAGATGTAAAAAGAAGCTCTGCAAACCACCTCTAAAACATTGGTTAACAATTGAAAACTTCAATCCCTGGAACTTCCTTCAATCATAGACACAGAAGTTCTAATACCTTTATTGAAGATATTTCCACATTGCTAGGATTACTTACACGTGTGAAAAACTCATCACAGTATTCACTAAGGTAACTAGTCTCCACAATCATGGTATTAGATTTTAGCATTCAAAATCAATCCCCATGGAGTGTTTGACAAAAACAGAATGCAATTCAATACTAATATACCAACAGCATTTACCAGATTGTTTCAATGGTCAAAAAAATGAAAATCGAAATCTTTAGGGAGAAAGATAACACCTCCCACTTGTAGTTGTAAGAGGGATATAGGCAAGCATTGTAGTCAGGACATCTATAAAAGGAACTCCAGCAACAGCAGCCCTGAACAAATCAGGGGGGCCTCATGGTTAAGAACAGCACCAATAAGCAATCCACCAGCACTTCTTCCCTCATTGCACAAATTTTCCTTTGAACAGTGCTTCTGTTCAATTAAAAACTCAGCACAAGCAATAAAATCTGTGAAAGTATTTTTTTTTTCATAAAAATTTCCCATTCTAATACCACTGCTTCCCCATTTCACCACCTCCACGAATCTGAGCTATTGCAAAGATAAACGCATGATCAAACAAAGACAGCCTTGATGCCTTAAAGTCAGGATATATACACATCTGATAACAGTCAAGGAACACTATATTAAAATACTGAAAAAAATAATAATTATATACACCAACAACTTGTGCACATTCAACTAAAAGATACACCAATTGATGCAACATATAATTATAGATTGCGTGAAATCATTGTTGCAACAGTTAGCTGAAATACCAAACCGGCTGAATGTAAACCGGTAAAAGTGGCCACTTAAAAGATCATTCAACTTTCTGGATAAGAACTTTTAGAAACTAAAGGAAGAAAGAAAGGGGTGAAGAGGATGCCCATAGAAGTGAAACAAGAATGAACAAATTTAGAGACTTTCACAGTGATCACAATCCAGAAAAGGCTAGAAAAACCAGGGACCAAACCAATAGTGTAGAATCAAGGAAGACTATACAAGCAGGCAATTGTCTTCTACGCATCACATTAAGATGAACTTCCACTTTATTTCAATATGATCTAAGTGAACAAAAACTGTGATCAAATAGAAGCATAATAATTCCAGTCTGTAATCTCACAAAAGTTTATCCAATTGGATGCATTGTTACCTTCATATGAACCATAACCGTAAAGCAACATTGGATAAGATCCATCAAGCTTGACAAGATTCTTCTGGCACACAATTGATATAGGAATCTGAGTGCCATCAGAAGCATTAGCCCATTTCCTTTTAGTGACATAATTAGATGCATCAAAACCTCCCAAAACCTGAATAAGAGATAATGTACAAAGTTAATCCAGTATAATATACATACATACATACAACAACAACAACAACAACAACAACAAACCAAGCCTTATATCCCATAACTCTGGGGTCGGCAATATAATATAGCTGCATGGGACCAAATCAAATAATGAAATACAATTTCATAAACCTTCTACTTTTATTCCTGACCAGTGAAAAAGAACCATGGTTTCAGGAAGGAGAATGAATTCTTTCACCAAATATGATCAATAACATTTTAAGAATAGATCAGGTCACTGAATTTTCCCATTACTCACCAACACAGTAGAACAAGAAGCTAAAGGTAACAAGAACATAAATCTACCTGGAATTGAAGAATGCACAAATGCACATGATCTTGACATCTAAGCATTAATATTTTATGCAACTACAATTTATTTTTAGAACGTAGAGGGAAACTAGAAGATCTCATGAATATTATATCTATACACATAAAATTCAAGAAAAAAGGCATATGTTAAAATGCAAATAAAAGCTACAATCCTGTATTAAGGCACTTGATACAGGGATATTAAGTTGACAAAACAAGGAAATTTTGCTCTCCATCATGTATTGATCAGAACATCCATTTGAAACTCAAAACACTCAATCAGTCTGGAAGAATTAAGTAAATAAATCAGATTGCCTACCTGTAGGTTTCTGATGAGTGATCAAAGGAAAGGCAGAAATTTAAAAACAGCGTATTAACATCATAGAATACGTAGAAAGTCTCACATAGAAGCTCTAAACTAGGCATGTATTACAAAATTAAATTAATCATTAGCTGTTATATGGTCGTGTTATGTAGATGTCATTATAATGACTATGATAGCCTAATAATGACTATGATACAGAGATGAGTTCTGGTACTGATATAGAAACTACTGAAACAAAACAACATGGAGGGAGACCAGGGGAACTATAGAAGGCTTGAGTTATAACATTAAGAGGCAAGGAAAACAGAAAAGGACTACTGTCTTTGATAGGAACTGAATAAGTCCTAAACTTTAAGGCATGGAAACTGAAAACCCATACCTTATCTGGCCGAAGGATCTCATCCATTGTAATGTAAACTAAAACTTCATTACCAGCCCATCGAAGTTATGACGTTGTACAAACTAATGGCTTCCCAACTGGTGCTCGAGTCTCTGCATCAATGACATAGACTGTGTAAATTTCATCTCCTTTAGTGTCCTCAGCGTATTCAACCAACTTATGATTCAAACTGACCCGAATAACAAAGTGCATAAAAAGACTTCATATAAAAAATGAAACTTCAGAAAAGGAAAGCAATTGCATTCAAAACCAAGTTAACAACATAAAGCTGATCATAACTGACCTTAATAGCACCAATTTTGTACAAATCATGTTCTTGAGCCTCAACATTCTCATCCAAGATTACATGCTCTGGCTGAGCATCAGGCCCTGTAGGCATGGTGTCATGAACAGACGGTGGAGCATCACCGTTAGGAACGGGACGCCTGCAACATTGAACATATTCCTTTCCTCCCAATGTTCTTGTGTAATAAAAATAATAGTGCCCTTTTCGCAAAGGTTTAGATGTATCATCCTCTTTTATTCGCCCTCTTATCTCAGCATAAATTTCCGTTCTTCAAATTTTTATTGGATCCAAATTAATTTAATAATTTAATTTAGTATAATATTTATAAAATATTATTTTTAATATAAATTATATTTTAAATTAAAATATTAAATAATAATTTTATTAATATATTTAAAAAATAAAATAAATAATATAATATATATTTTTATATATATCTAAAAACGAATCAAAATAAAATATTCTAAATGAATAATCCTAGTCTGACTAAACTTCGATTTTTTTCAAAAAAATCAAATCCATCTCTGGTACGATCCTCGATTTAAGGGAAAAATCATCCATTCCAATATCAAATTAAAACGAATTGAAAACACATCAAATACAAATAATTTTACCGTTCATGATCAATCCATTGAAAATCGTAAAATAATTCAATTTTACTTCTCTCGATTTTATTTTTCTTTTTATAAAGAGGACAATTGACATGTTACCCTTTTATCTAGCATAATAATTCCTCTATATAATAATGATAGATCACAGTAAAGAAACATTAACTTTCCAATAAATCTGGAGCTCTCCTGAAATTCTTAATTACCAGATACCTCACAGGCTAACATTAGAATGAAATGACAGAAATGTACTTCTCTACCCCATGCAGAACAGCTCTGGGTTTTATTCATTTCAATGGACCCGCCGTAATATTCAAGTGAAGAAGAAAGTAGAAAGAAAAAAAAAAAAAAAAAAAACAATGATAAATTTTAGAACTTAATGAAGCAAGATATACATAATGAAACAAATACACAACCCAAGAATTCATAACAGACATTAACCAAACATCAGATAGCGTATATTAATGGAGAATGTATGGGAATGAAGGAGGACATTTAAAGGAAAAGCCATGTTGCAACATACAGCAACCATCCAATAATAGCCAGAAGAAGAACCGGCTTGGACCAGACAAAATTTCCAGGACAGGTCCACTTGCAAACATTTTATCAAGGCTTCCTCGTTATGCCTCCTTTGAACAACCATACGCTTGGATAATATTACAAGTACTGCAGTATGTAATTCCCTTTGATTACAAGAAATAAGGAACTCCTGTCCTGGGCCCTCTCATCTGATTATTCTCATCTGTTTCAGTGAAGAACTTCACTTCTCTCTCCTGAAGAGATGCCAAAAAAAATTAGTATCATGAATAGCATGTATTTGAAGAAGAGATTACATTTCTTACCAATACAAGTTGAAACAACTTAAAACAACTGGCAATCCTAAAAATAAATCTGGTACTAAAGCAGACTACCCACATAGACAGACGTATAAAAGTTAAAAGAATAGAAGGCACGAGCAAAACAATTCTCACCATATTCTCATTGAAGCTCAATATAGAAGCTACATTCCCACAACGGTAACAATAATTTGGTGCAGACCACACCTCCAAAAATCAATAACCAAGAAACTCCATTAAGCTCTTAATACCATTAAGCTAAAAAGATGACAGCAGAAAGTTTAGTGTCTCACAGTTACTAGGCCTTTATCTTGAAACATATACTTAAGACCTTCTTGCACAAGTTGGTGAGCTCGACAAACAAGATCAAGATTATTTATGACGTTGAACTGCAACAGATGAAAAGGTTAAAATTATTATTTCAGCATGACAACGTGACTAAAGACTGAGATGAGATTGATTACCTCAGATGTGACCCTGGAGCCAAATAACCAACCTGCTCCACGTGGACTGACTGCCCATGTTTCAATATCTTCAGGATCACTCCACATGAGATCACAGAATGGGCCTTCATGGGGGATTTCACAGTTCCGCTCAATTACCCTTATCTGGCATAAAAGCAGAGAAAAATATAAGTGATTCAACACCATGTAAGGAAATAAAGAGAAACTAACAATCATTACGCTTATAGTTGAAAAAGTCCCACAGGAAAACTACTTCTTGCTAAAGAAAATACCATCCATATGAAACAGATTGTTATTGACTAAAGAGTCAATTATCTCTTCAGCAGAAGAAACCAAATAAAATGCAACTGCATGACCAAGACTTAGTTTTTACTTAATAAGACCTTGGAGTCGAAGGTTATTCATGAAACTGAATAGGGAGGATATTAATCCTGGGACTAGATGGTTACAAAGTCATATAAAGTCCAATGCTGCAATGTACTGCCTTTAGGTTCAAAAGCCAGAAAGGTTGCCTGATCAACACATAAAGCCAAAGCTAAAAACAATAAGAAACATCTAAAGAACTATAACCTTCCCATCATTTCTTAAAAATTTACTCATCTTCTGTTGACTATATTTTTTCTTCCACTCAAATAAAGAGATGAAAGGGGCAACTGTACATGCCCTGGTTTTATTTGATTCCTCGAGATGTATCATACCAATTTACTACGTAATTATTCATGCTTTGCTACAAGAAAACTAGCCTAAAGTTCAACATAAGCAAGTTATGATCAAAAGAAATATCAGAGCTACATGCAAATACTCTAAAAATACAGGACATGACATGCACAAGCAACAAACAAATAAAATAAATGATAAATTAAAAATTAAGTGAATTTCTAGTGTTGCAGCAAATAAAAATGCCAGTCAACCAAAAACTAAGCAAAAAGGAAAAATACCTGATCAATTGTTCGTATGTCAGGAGAAAGGCCACCATGTACACAAAGTACCTGCAAAATAGAAAATAATAGAACTCTTAAAGAGGATCAAATAAGGTACTTAGATAGAGATGGTTTAGAGAGAGAATGCCTACAGTCCCATCTATAATTGCTGAAAGTGTAAGATAGTCAAAAACATCTGTACAATACCGCCAGGCATTGGCATTTCCATACTTCCTCTGGCACTCATCATAGAAACCATAAACCTAGTAAAGAGATGTACACACAGTCAAATGTCAGTCCTTGCTATTTGGAATGTTTTTCTCAAAAATTACAGCTTTAGAGCACTACTCAACAAACCTAAAAATCAAACTAACATGGTATTTGCATATAGAACTTCCAATAACCCTGATCCTCAGATTCAGTATGCTACTCTCAAAATTTAACCTTTGATTTTCGTTAATGTGTCCATATAGAGGCGTTCAATCCCTTTTTCCTAAAAAAGGGAAAAAGTAATCATGGAACTGTAACAAAGCTTTAAGCATGACAAGAGTGGCCTCAAAGAAAGAAAAATGAAAAGAAATAATAGTGTGACAAACTTATAATCACACACAATAGCACTTCCATATATTCTATAAGGTCTTTACAAGCATATTCCATTCCGGTATAATTCAAAAGCATACCTGAGTTAGTTGTCTGCTTTCATGATTCCCTCGCAAGAGAGTGATATTAGCTGGGTACCTATGATTCAGAAAACATAAAGGGAAAAAACAATGTTACCTCTAATTTCAAACAAGAAACAGCATTCGATTACCTAACAGGCCAGAAAACAGAACCAGAAATCTAATTTCCTTATCAAATGCATAGAAAAAGCAATAGCAGAACCACCAATTCATGATATCTGCATTTTGAGTCTTCTAAATCTAAGTCTGATAATGTATACAATATATCCTAGCAACTATCTTCTTGCCAAATCAAAATGATAGCTTCGAAAGGATTTTTTGGCCTGAAGTAGGAAAAATAGTAAATTCAAAACAAATGAACATTGATTTTTCTTTCTATACCATACTACAATTTGAAACCATGTATGATGGTTGCTAATTAACAACAATGACCAGGTACACCTTAACCTGGGGGTACATTGTACATTAAAGGTCTGAGAATTGTGCTAGAAATCACATAGTGAACCAAGAACAAGTCCAAAACAAAGAAATAATGTACCCAAATACATGGTTGAAAACCAGAAGATAAATCCCAAGAAAAATTACAGAGATGCTTAAGCATGCATCCAAAGGGCATACCTTGCCTTAAGAAGCAAAAGAATAGTGAAAACTTCAAGACTATTATAACCTCGATCAACAAAATCTCCCTATCCAAGGTAATAGGAAGATTTAGCACCCATTAGTTGAAATCAACACTATAACAGACATCAAAATCACATAGAATTTTCACAACAATCTCCAAGCAGGAGATGTAAACTGTACCATAAAAATGTAATTTGTCTCCGGTACATGACCTCCTGTCCGAAAAAGTTTCATTAGATCATGAAACTGGCCATGGATATCACCACAGACTGTTACTGGACTGTTGACAGGTTGCACATTTGACTCCTCAATGAGGATTTCTTTTACCTGTAATGTTTTACATAATAAAGTATATAATGCACTGTGTTCAGATAAAATGACAAAGGCTAAAACTTCATAGCAAATAAAACTGAAAGTTGACAATATAGCAATGATCAAATTACACCGCTAAAATGAATAACATAGAAACTAAATACTATTAACTCATATAACAGTAAAGTCAAACATATGACTCTTCAATCAATTAAAATCACAGTAAATGCCAGTTATGCTGGATCCTGGAAGCTTTGTTTTTATAAAAAAAAAAACCTCAGTTATGTGATAATTCTTTAGAAGCAATACTAACAAATGATACTAAAGAAATAAAGCACTACAAATTACAAAAAAAAAAAAAAAAGACGCCATGATTTTCAAGTACAGACATAAACTTGACATTTTCTTGCAATTCCTGATTCATTTCCAAATGCTCAACTTCATTCTAACAAATCAAACACTCATTTTCGAATTTCTCAATCGTCAAAACAAACCACACAAACCCTATTTTTTCCCATCAATACAAACATAAAGAAAAGGTAACCAATTTTAAAACCCTAGAAGTAGAAAAGGGCCAATAAAAGAGAGAGAAGAAATACGTATTCGCAAAGAAACTGAAGCTCGTCTTCTAAAAGATGCTGGCCTTCTTTAACCTTTGCTATCCACTGATCCAAATCCATCGATTTCTTCTCTTCGGAATTTGAGTTCCTTTTCTTTTGCTGTGTTTTTAGAGGGGGAAAGAATCTGAATAAATATGAAATTTCTCGCTCTTCTCCCTGTATCTAAGGTTTTAACCAGAGGAGAGACTGCGAGAAGAAGAAATTTTCAATGGTCGCTCTGTTGTTATTGTTTTTTTTTTTTTTTTTTTGCTTTTTTCGTCCGTGTGTCGTAACTACAGAACAAAACAACCAAACAGTTCTCGGCGTTTTTTTTTTTTTTTTCTCATAGGGAAAAGGCTTAAAAGGGCAGCCACGACAGCGTTTCTTATTGGTACCCTACTTATTTCTCTTTTGCTTTCTTTTCCCCCTTTGCTCTGGACCATTAAGCGTTATCATTTTAAGTAGTGCATTTGCAGTAAGATTTAATATGTGATTTAATTCCTAGATTATATCACTCTTCACGATTTAATATTTATAGAAAAAATTCATAATTAAATATTTAAATTTTATTTTCTTTAAACATTTTATCCTTCACACTAATTCTATTAATGATAAACTATTGTAATAAAAACACCAAATAATATCATAACACATGATATATTTTTATTAGTCAACATTTATCATGTTAGCATTTTAATTAACGATTTTAATAAATGACGCAAAATGTTTGATGAAAACAAAATCGGGATATCTAATCTTAAATTTTTTTTTTATAAGTATCATATCGTTAAAAGTAATATAATTCAAAAGTCAAATTACATATTAACCCTTTCAAAAAAAATATATTCATTATGATCATCGTCGGAGCAAAAGCAATCAAGGAGCAAAAGATTAGAACATATGCATGTATAGATCCAATGCTAGACAAGTAAAAAGGGATTAGGCCTTAGGGTAGGGTCGATTTGTAGATGAAATACACCTGAAGAACCATATGCACACGACTGACGGAGAGCAATTAAGCAGAAATGAGATATATTTAGCCCTTAACAATTTACAATCTGAGTGTTGTTCACAGCGGTTATGATTTCTTTTTCTTATTATCACCTCTAATGAGCTGAACAGGTGCTGCAGGTATCCTAAACCACCATTCTTTAAGCCTTCTCAGCCATCTGTCACTGCTTTCTCTCCTATACGACAGTTCCCTGGTAAAAGCCTCTAGGAATACAAACAATATCACGTATCTCAAAGACACAAAAGCTAGCACTACAGCCATGAAAACCAACAAGAGAGCAACCCTGTCAGAGCCCTGGCAGACAGATAACATATAGAATTATTGTCAGAAGCTAGACACAATTCCTCAATTATTATAGAATATTAACTTCAAAGTGCCATTCAATTTGTTTGTGGGACCAATTAACTATATACTGACATTCTACATTTTTCATGCAATATGAAATTCAAGAAAGAACAGGACTTCAGTAATTTAATTTGGCTTGAGCTTCACTTCTCAGCTCTTCTTCATGAAATTATTCTAGTCATTTTCCATGCTTTTTAATAAATTGTTTGTCATCATTTATCCAAGCCTTAACGGTTAACAAGGGCTGAATACACTCATTGAACTAAATTATGCTCATGTCCTACTTAGTTCAAACAATAGGGCAAGATTTTCTAGAGCACTAGTTACAGGGCTTTCAAAATTCAAACTTCACGAAAAAAGCTTGAAACCCTAGAATGACTTTTTTCGGTTATGTTCAGGAAAAAAAAAAAAGCCTAACCAAAAAAATCCCACCCTAGCCCTCATTTTTCTTTGCAACCCTTCTATAGAATCAAGCAGATAAATAAGCTACAAAATTATGCAATTTCCAGCAGCACAAGGGTGCTAGTAAAACAAGAAACTTACTAATGTTAATGTACCACATGAAGATATAAGTGAAAACTCAGAAATTGGATTTAAGTTTTCCTTTTACTCTTTTCCAGTTCCATGGGGTGGGGGATGTGAAAATTTATTGGCATTGTGTTCTACTTATATATTATGGGAAATACATATTTAGCATAATTCAATTTTCTTTTATCTGATTCAAGTGTAGCTGGGACATGCACCTGTGGTAAGACAGCAAATAAGAGAGCCCTTATCTTGAGGAGAAAAACATTCCCAGTTTGGATTAGTGCTTCAAGTTGGGAGATGGCTTCTTGTAATATCACCAGCTGCTCAACTGCTTTTCGATTTGGTGGAGGTGTTATTCTGAAGGCTTCTAAGGGCTTCCCTTTGTTAAAATGCTGGCGCCAGAGCATGATAATTGCGAAGAATACAGAACAGATGCCAAAATATATCTGAGCCACCCCCTGCAAATCATAATTGATGGATTCATTATATCATTTGGTTTGTCTATGCAATCACAAAAAAGTTGAATATTAGAAGTTTGAAAGAAAATAAAAACACCTACACCAAACTGAATATACACATGGACATTTATAGTGTATTTTGACAATAAGCCTGGCAAGGAAAGGGCATGAAATTTACCTCAATAAAAAATGAATCTTGAAATGTTGCATGCAGAAAATTCAGGAAATGATCAGCTAAGTCATCCATTAATAGAAATATTTTCCTGATCGGTTTGCAATCCATATATCATAATATTTTCATTTTACATGTTTCAACTTTCAGGACGTACAGAAGGAGAACATATATTATTCTTAACGTATCTTAAAGCAAAGTATGCAAAGACCAGTCAAAGACAACGTTTACCTTATAATTGCATAGTAGGTCAACATCAGAAAGACAGTAGACTTAAAAGGGTCTTTCCAAGAAGACAGGAGCTCAAGTTGAGTAGCTAATTCAATGACAGGAAACAGTAGTTCCTACAAATTAGAAAAAAGAAAAAAGTGTCATCTTTTTACAAACTGCTGCAATTTTCAAAAAGATTCTGTTGCTCGGTTGAGGTAATACAACAAAAGGCTTGGCAGCTGTCTAGTATTCAATTGAACACTTAGGTTGTTTTGTAGGAGCATGACAAAACAAAACTTTCCCTAAATCAACATGGGGATTAAAGTGAATTAAATTTTCTGATGACAACTTCTGCTGAACAAATTGATTAATAACTTGAACAAAATAGCCAATCATATGAAAGTTGTTCTGGCCTGAAACCAAATCTAATAGATTGAAGATTGCAATAACCAACCTTCATTATAGCTAAATTTGTATCAATCCCTTCTACCTTCACTTGGTTCACAGTTGCCTGTGCAGCTTCAGCCCTACCTGTGTCAGATATTGATTGCTTCACTGCTATCTCTAAGGGATTTGTCTCCCAACACAGAAATCTCCAACAATTAATGCTTCTCCATCCAGATTTGCATCCTTCTGTAGAATGAATCCAAGTTGACTAACCGCCAGAAGTGAAACAGGAGATGAGGTTGGCAGGTGTTTCACAGTGCGTGGGGAAGTATCGGCATTGAAAAGTGCCAAATGACAAGAAAGAGTTTCCAAAATCATATCACCTCCAGGAAGGCTCTCAGCTAGGTTAAAACTAAGTAAAGTTTTATACTAGGATGCGAAGAACTGAAAAGCTTCTCTCACTGCACGATAACGAAAGATACCTAATATAGCTCTTGCTAGTACTTCTGACAGCTGAGTCTCTTTGAAGTTGTTTTTTCTAGCAAACCTGTGTGGATGCAGGATCTCCAAAGATATATCCAACCAATAGTCTCGACAAAAATTGCCTTTAAATTCAGGAAACTCAAAATAAACAGGCTCTGTTCTGTGAATAGATTTTAAAAATTCCAAAGAAATATCAGAATTTTCTTAAAAATATGACAATAAGTTATATAATTCCAGGTTATTGAGTTGACAGATAACTTACACAGTTGTTGATTTGTACATAACAGCTTTCTCAAAGAGACGAGCACCCAGTGGCCCAGTTAATTCAGGTTTTATGACCTGCTTCAGGTCCGTTGCCAGATCATATCTCACAGCTTTGTCAAATACACCAACTCCCAAAGATTCAAAGTACAGAGCAAAGTTGGTTAGAGTGAGCCATCCTGCATAAATAGAAATTCAACGCATAAACAACCCAAAGATAATGCAATTAAAACGTGTTGTTAGAGGCACTTAATGAAGTATATGAATCAATGACATCAGCGAAACTGAAAAGATTTCTTGGTCAAAAAACTATTTCTGTTGCATGACCAGTTTGTATAGATTAGTTTTTTTTATTACATATTCATTTCATATTTAGGATACATGTGAATGTTTAAAAATATTACATTAAAACTTTGTCATCAATACAAATATCAGTACCACTTGATGCATCCATATATTAGACATGAAAGTCCATCAATTGATAAAAACCTGTGGAAAAACTAAGAAATAAATCAGTGTGGAAACTGAATGTATATTGAAAAACTGCTCATATGTAATTATACAAGAACCTTAGGTTTATATACAACTAACTAGGGGTTAAACTAGGAAACTAAATCTTCCTAAAAAACTAATCCTATAATTTAGGGATTGTCTATCCTAATTTTAGGGATACAAATATAAATATATAGATTACAAGATTACAACCAGCTGTAAATAAGTGTTTTCCCACAAAACCATTACCATTTGATACATTCATATGAAGGTAACATTTTCTATGAACGCATATATGATGTGGCCTAGCTTGAGATCATACAAGCAGCGCCCTGTAGAGGGAGATTGGTTAACAGTCTTAATAACTAGTCAACTTTTACAAATTCTATTGAACCTAATCTATATGTACTGAAAGGTTTACTTAATTTCTGGTCAATTTTCAAAACATTGAAATACCTGGCCATGCTGAGATTCCAACATGTTGCAGAACTGGTTAAGTTGGAATTGCACCTTCAATATCTAAAATTATCTCCACCTCAGAAAGTGGAAGATTGGAAAGTGAGGGTCCCAATGTACTTTTTGTGTCCTTAATAACCCTAAAGATGGGTAAAAAACCATGATAAATAAATATCCCAACAGTTTCAACTCAGAAGTCAAAATAACCCGAAAAAACACAGGACTACAAAAGATATAAGTGGACATGTTTTCTATTTTATCCAATCAGATCATCGACGCCATCAATGTCAAACTCAAACATCCTTAGAATTAGATAAGCACTAATGTCATCTAGTCATTACCCTCTCCCCTCAAAACAAGCTTATTGGGGTGTGCAGCGCTCAAAAAGAGTAGGCAGGGTGGCAGGCAAAGTCTAACCATGGCAAACACTGCAAAGGGAAGCAGACAGGTTGGCAGTCGTGACGAGAGTGTCATGAGACTGGGTGTGGGAGAATGTTACACTAAGCGCTCAAAAAGAGTAGGCA